TACTGTCAAGAACTGTAACAATCGTCTGCGGAGATCTGTACTCTACAATCGTCAAGCTATCACCGTCTGAGATGTCTAAGAGTTCTATACTGATCCTTATGATGTTTTCAGAACTGACTTGGGAGTAGACCATAGGCTCCTGTGATTATTAAGGAACATTTGTTGTAAAGGTAAACATCATTTAGCGAAGATATGAGTTCGTGAAATTTGCAAAGAAAGAAAAATCTACAAAGAAATTGCAGTAAATATCAATATCAGACAGATTTCCTACTTCAAAATATTTTGTATTGCCACCCTAAAATTGAATTAGATGCCTTTACCCTACCTAGACCGGGGGGGGGGCTAAAAGTGCCCGCGCCATCTTTGATGTCACCTAGCGGGGGGGGGCTAGCCGTAGAACGGCCAAACTTGGTGACTTTTCCTAGAATATTGTTGGCAACAATTCTCTATCATTGGAATAAGATAATAATTTTTTGTGTTGCCATGGCAACGGGTTTCTGACAGGCATTTTTTGCTAAATTTAGTACTTTTTGTTTCAACAAGTATTTTATGGGTTTTATGTCAAGTTACTCATGGTTTCTAATATTAATAACATCCCATATAATTTTATGTAAATTTTATCATTAAATATGCATAATTTATGCTAATTTGATGACGTCATTGGCCAAAATCCAAGATGGCGGACCATATCATTAGAACAGGTATGTACAGGTTATTTTCCTTACAATTTCATCAATACTTCCATTTTTTTCCAAAAAAGCTTTAAATGAATGTCTTTAGTATGTCTACAATGTATTTTAGGCTTTATCATGAAAAAAAACTATTTTTGAAAATTCAAGATTGATGATCCAAGATGGCGGATATCTTAAATATGCATGACATCATGATAGCATCACCGGTGTTGCTATGGGCAGCATAAGACTTAGTACACCATAATATTCTGTCATAAACACTTTTGGTACAGTTATGTTGAATACCATTTAGTTTTCAGGGAAAAACATATTTAGACGGTTTTGGCCAATAAAATCACATTAATGACGTCATAATGACGTCATATTACGTCATAACGACATAAAAATTGTAGATATGATAAATTTTTACTAGTACACCATTCTCTGAAAATTTGGTAGTCATACGACATACCGTTCGCGAGTTCTTAGGTTGGTCAAAAGAGCCCCCCCGGTCCCCCCATGTACAAAAAAAGCCCGGTCTAGGTAGGGTTAAAACTTTCAATAACATTTTGAAAACTCGGCGAATTTTTTAAGCACGGTAACTGATATAAGAATCAAGGACAACAACGTACTTGTCAGCTTTGCTGTTGTTTGAGAGGTAGTGAGAACGCTCTGAAGATATGTTGAAAATTAGAAATGTCAGAAAAGAGAACATGCTCACAACATACCGATAGGGATTTGGCAAGTTTCTCCAGCATAGCCCTCGTCACAGGTACAGGTGAAGTTGTCTGGACCACGGATACAGGTCCCATAGATGCACGGGTCGGGCTGGCAATGGTCCACAACTGTCATGACGTGTAAAATCAATGTTAAGAGTCGAAATTCTTCTTTTAGAATAACAGCCCAAATAACGGAGGTAGATTTATTCTGTTTTTTAGAAGATGTTGTAACAAGCTGTCGTTGCCAGAAAATGTTCCATATGACCAGGTAACTAACGGTACCAGGTCATACCTCACGTATTGCGAAACGTTCAGAATGATGTACGTAACGTATCTGTACGTGAAGTATGACATATACGTGACGCATTGAACCCAAACTTGACGTATACACATTAAAACGTACAATATCGATTTTAGTTACGTTATATACGACACGGATGTCATGTTTCATAGCTGTTAGTATAAAGCAATTTAATGTTATGATACCAAGGGAACTGTTATGCCGCAGCACTATATCCAGTCCCACTGATTAGGTTACAGAATAATCTCCAAGCAGATCCCTCTCGGTGGCAAAAAGACAGTATCAAATTTGCCAGACAGTATCCATTAGCCAGAGAAGCTCCATTAGCCACCGACGGGGTGGGGATCAGGACAAAAAAACGGCCATATATAAAATGGTAATGATCATTCCGCACAACCTCTGCTTGGAGAGTAGTTACAGAGTACATGTAGCAAAAACAGGGAAAAGCAAAGAATATGGGTGATCATAATCATGAAATTGTACAACAATGTACGCAACATTTTTCAAAAGTTCCAAAATTGAAAGCGCAGTCATCGATATTTTGAGACTGACCTAATGGAGAGACTTGACAGATGAACTTCCTGTCAGCGCGGGTACAGCTTCCATCGTTCCATGAGTTGGGAAAGCTCGACCTTTCAGTAACGTACTCGGCACAGTCCTCCACCTCGACACCATCCCAGTTGTCGGGTTGTCCTGGGCCCCACGCGCTGAAGTTGCCCAGAGGAACGTTATCATCCCACATCCAAACTCCCTCCTGGCGGTAATCAGTCAGCCCAAAACGGAACAAAGCGTTGTTGTCGACGGCATTTTTCAGATCGATGAGAAAGTTGTTGGTTGCAGTGTCGAAGGGCATGGCAAGGGTTCCCCCGTCTGAAGAACACCTACTGACTGCACCGTTGTAGGTTGCCGCGTCGTTGAAGGCCTTGTAGCACAGGTGACTAGGCTGATGGTAAACGTACCCAGGCTGATGGCAACCTATTTCAGAACGAATAAAGTTATCATTTCAACTGCCTGTAAATGTGCTTAATACACTCTGTAGACAATCGCTATGATCCAAGATCGAATCAGTGAATTAGAGAGAACATTGATATAGAACCTGGTTTACCCAAAAGACAGTGCGGGGTACAGAAAGCCATCAGAGCGAAAGTCATCTACAGACTGAAATGTGAAGAACCTCACTGCAACGGTACCTACATCGGGGAAACTAGCAAACCACTGAAGGAATGGTACAAGCAACACTGCAGAACTACAGCACGCGGTTACTCCTCTGCCATCTACCACCACACACAGCACAACCAAGGACATTTTTTTCAAATTGGAGGCAACAGACATTTTCGACTGTGAGCCACGATGGTACGAACGCGGTGTCAAGGAGGCCATCTTCGAACGGATCTACAGCCCCACCTTAAACCGGAAGGGAGGACTGCTTGTAGAGCTCTCTAGTACACGGGACCCCGCCCTGCCACAACCTAAAGGACAGTAACAGTTCCTATGGTGTTGTCTAACCATATGTATTCAACATATCATTAACCTTATGGATCTTTGACATGTTTAACTGTTTTTTTTTTCAGTTGATCATATATGCCTCATGCAGTTCTGTTAGTTCATTTGTGACGCTGAAGAAGAGTGGTGGATGTCACTCGAAACGTCCTGATATTATCCTCGGTAATTTATCCAGTAGTGTAGTTTGAATTTTTCTGTCTCAGTCTGCAATATGCATATCTAGTTCTGGCGAGACCACGTCGGCATTCGGTTGAGGTACGCTGGGAGGAAGGTCGTTGACCTCTGACATTGATAACACGCTACCTTGCCGCAGTGTTTTCATCAAACAACAATTAATGTACATTAGGCAAATCGTGATCGGGCACGGATTGAAAGTAATGTGTGTGGCACGTGGACCAGATATGAGGAATGCGAGGAATGTTGAAGAAACCCATAAACACAGACACACTCACACATTTATAAATCATTAAATACATACGGTAGTCGACACAATCCGCACAGTTACAGTAATTTGGAGTGATCCCACACCAGGAATGTGGAGAGCAGCATGGGTTGATACTGTCAGGGTTGCACTCAGCGGTCCTCCCGTCTGCTGTAGTGAAACGGCCTCCACAGCGGTAATCATCGCGCCATTTCTGAGTAGCTAACAGAAAAAAACGATAGACAAACAACAGTTAAAACAGAGTTTTACGACCTCTTACCTTTGCTAGATGATGGCCTACTATATGTATAATAAATGTTTCTCGTTAACTGTGCAAATGTGATTCTCATTTTCATGATGAACCCTCATTTTGCATGGATATTAGTGGCAGGGGCATTTAATGACCCTTTGGGCACCTTCTTACCACAATCATCAGAAAACGTGTACAACTTTACTAAAGCAAGGCCCGTATAAACAAAATACATCTTTCTGTCGGTTCTTTACAAAGTAAGTTGACGTAAACATATAGTATTCCAGGACACGGCGACGTGTGGCGTAGTTCAAACGAGAAGACCCGGGTTCGATAACAGGGGCGCATGTCCAAACAGATATTTGGGGTTATCATTGATTCATTCATGGCCTGCCGACACGACGCTAACCTGAGGCTGTCTATAACTGAGGGGACTGTGGTAAAATTTCTTTGTGGACATGTCCGCCCTTCACTACACCTACAAGTGTACATACCATAAAGAGTGTTCAGACAATTTCCTCTTTGGCGACGCCTCATGGGCGAGCCTAATGGTACAGTATTGTGTGCAGTCTGCAAGAATTTTAAGAATTGTACAAGAATGTGTTTCCACAGGAATGGAATGTCTACAGGAATGTCTCACAGCTCTGGCATTTTGTTGAACACAGTCCATGGAAACCATTGGGACAATGTGGCTGCCGGGATGCCCTACTTCTGTGACCCCGGGGCTCGATCGTTACACACTCAGGGGAGGATAAGAGTGATCTACTGAACTGCAAAGATCTACTGAAAGATTCAATGAAGCTGATGGTAATCGATGTTTATTCCTACACTGCCGGAGGTGATAACTATAGGAAAATATACATGCATACTTTGTTGTATAACTACTTGTTAAGTCTGGACAGATACAGTAGATCATTCCTACCCTCCCGAGTGTATAGTGAACGAGTCCTGGTGCTTACAGAAAGCAGGGCAGGTTTTCTCAGAGACTTGCGGTCGACCTCAAATGTTATTTTAAACTAACCCATGACAGACCACAACGAGGCTTCATGATAATCAATGATACATTTTGTAGTGCAAGCAATAACCCTATCAACAAATACCGTCGCCATGGCAATGTATGTTTTCATTGCCAGTCTTGTTATCTACAAGGCCGGAGACCGCCACCATGCAAATAACTACAGACCAATATTTCTGCTCAACACAGTCCCAAAAGTGCTGGAAGCACTAGTAAATAAACACCTAATGCAACAAATCACTCCGATATTGTCCCAGCACCAGAGCGGATTCAGGACCAAGGACAACACCACGCTACAACTGGCCCACCTGGTAGATGAATGGACCAGGGCAATGGACAGAGGGGAAGTCGTGGGATGTATTTTCCTTGACCTGAGGAAAGCATTCGACAAGGTCAGGCACAAAGGTCTCCTTGCCAAAACATGTGCCCACGGAATACGCGGACCTATCCTCCAATGGTTCCACAGTTATCTGTCCGAAAGGCGACAACGTGTGGTTATTCAGGGCGGAACATCTGAATCGCCCCTTGCCGGCGTCCCCCAAGGGCCCGTTCTTGGCCCACCCTGTTCATCCTGTATATCAACGACATAACATCTTGTTGTACACTGTGTTCTCCAAACTTATTCGCTGATGATACTTCACTGTCCACCAGTAACAGATCAATTCAACGTGTAGTCACCTCACTTAACAGAGACCTGTGCTCTGTATCAAACTGGCTCACACAGTGGAAACTCGAAGCAAACAGGGATAAGTGCAAGGTGATGTACATCACAACTCGCAACATCCCAAGGCCCCATGTACCAGTCTCTCTGGGTGGAACTATCCTGGAAGTTGTGGCTAGTTACAAACATCTAGGTGTCACCTTAACGAACACACTCTCCTGGTCCAAGCACATCGATACAATTTCCACCACCTCAAGACGATCTGCTGGCCTACTGTGTGCACTAAGAAAGAAGGTGCCAAGTGACATCCTACTCAGGCTATATAAGACCATTACACGACCTGGCCTTGAGTATGCCAACATCGTCTTGGCGGGACTCACCAAGAGTGACGAACGGAAACTGGAGTCTGTACAATACCAAACCGTCAGACTGATCAGTGGACAACATGGACTCTCTTATCCCTCCTACCAAACCTTGTACAACCAACTGTCCCTTCCATCACTTCAGTTCAGACGAAGATTCCATACAGTCACCACCCTGTACAAGCTCCTTAACGGCCACTGTCCGCCACACCTCCAAACCCTGATACCCAGAACCCGTGCATCTGCTACTGAGTCTCGCTATCCCCTCAGGAACAGCAACCACCTGACTGTTGAACTTACCAAAGCCACCAGAGGCCGGAGAACATTCTTTCACCGAGCAACGTCACTCTGGAACACTCTTTCCACTGACGCTCGCACTGCCACCACTATTGCCTCTATGGGACTCTCTAGGCGACCCCTATAAGCCTTAGGTGTATGACCCTGACCTCTCCACGTTAATGTATTGTATTGTTGTATCGTGCGTGTCAATGTTTGTCTTGTCAGCAGGGCAAGCCCTTAATAATAGCCGTCTGGCTAGTTGGGCTGCCCTGGCTGTACAATTTGTCTTTTTACAGCCGAACGAATAAAAATAAAAACAGTCTTGTTGTCGTTAAATTTATCTTGGTTCTGGTTACTTTTGATAATGGTCACACTAGATCATAAAGATCTTGACAAAACCCTACTATTTTTTCAGTAAATACAATCAGCTATGGATCATTGCCTTTTAAGGCATTCTAAGTACTTGCAGAAAATGTTTTTGTGAAACATGAACTTACGGCAGTCTTCGTCGTCGCTGTTGTCCCCACAGTCATCGTCACCGTCACATCTCGACCAAATTGTGATACACTGGCCGTTGGTACAGGCAAACTCATCATCTGCGCAGTTTCTGGGCGCCGCTATGGCAACATAGAAAACAGGTATATCACAGGAAGAAACGGTAAGATTCCATCTTCCCGCCACTTTTGATTCACCCCCGACGTCATCACGCTTCCGACTTCCGGAGAGTCAGTGAGTGGATGACACTAGCCTCTACCAGGCTTCGGGAGCGGCAAAATGTTCTCTCCAGTAGCACCAACTCCCTTGGCATGCTATCTCTCTGTTTGGCCGATTTCTACTCTTTCCATCCGCCTCCCCAAGCCTGGTAGAGGCTAGATCACACATCTGACGAAGGTACGTTAAAGAGATAGACTGAAACTTTATGGTGAGTTCCTTACAAGCTAGCTTAAACTCTATGGATTCAACCAACACAGATGTATTTTAATCGAAAATGGCAATCTATTTACAAGCAGACCTTGTAAGTGTAAACTTTGATCACTAAGGCAATGTTGATTTGATTACATTGATGACATCCGCGGGCGCATGAATTTTCGACCGTTCAAAAAAAAGGTTGGAACCACACTGTAAATCGTACAAAACGTTGCAATATAAGCAAATATATACCGTTACTTGCAAAAAAGAATTGGAAAGCAATCCCAATGCCGTAGAATGCCAAAATCAAACGAAGATGACGAAAATGTAAAGAAATGGATTTAAAGAGTAAGATTATTCGCCTTACTTTGTGTCATTTGTTCAACCTTCATGACCACCTAGATTTCATAATAATCTTTTTTTATTTGCACGCTCGCATTAGTTTTGGGGTTCTTTGAGATATAATCAAATCAACATGGCCTAACTTTAATCCAGGACTTACCCAGGGCCACTAGGTTGATCTCGACGGCTCCCTCCCATGGCTGCAGCCCGCTCCCGCCAGCCCCCACTAGGCACTCGTAGGTGCCGCTATCGCTGAACTGCAGGTTACTCAGGCGGAGGGACGCATCCTGGGCAGCCGCGTCCGTGTTCACCAGGCTCACCCTGGGAAGGGATTTTTGAAAATATTCTTATGTTTTTAAAATGAGTAAAGAGACTCTTTTTACACAACCAAGTCTTTTATTCAGCCGACGTTTCAGTGACCGTCTGTCACCTTCCTCAGGGCAATTCTGACTGGTTCACATTGCAGCACAGGTGTTGCTGCTGTAGATGCATTCCCACCTGTGCTGCAATGCAATGTGAAACAGTCAGAATTGCCCTGAGAAACGTCGGCTGAATAAATGACTTGGTTGTGTAAAAGGAGCCTCTTTACTCAGTGCTTTACCAAACTGATGAAACTTTTTACTTTTTTTTTAATGTTTACCTTCGCATTACCTTACATGTTGTTTTTGCTCAGTTTCCTCCTCATCTTCTTCTCCAAATGAATAAGGTCAATGACCTGAATCAGACGTCTGCCACCATGGTAACTAGTGTTACACATACATAGTGTTGGATTACATCATGCAAATTCTGTTACAGTAGAGACCGTACGTGATATTAAGGTGGCTTACCAGTTACGCTACAAGATGTACGTGATATTAAGGTGGCTTACCTGTTACGGTACAAGCCGTACGTGTAGGCGGACTCGCCTGGATAGTAGGACAGGACTGGTTCTCTGTCACTGTCGTCCGAAACGCGGTACCACTTGATCTCACGCAGGGTGGCGGACCCGCTGAGAGAGTAGGTACAGCTTAGCGTGACGGTCCTGCCTATGGACTGATACACATCAGGACCGCTATTCACCGTGCCGGTCTGCGCTCTCACGGCTACAGCCAGGAGGGAAAGGAAAGAAATGAATAAGCACGAAGGAAAACATATTGTTTTTGCTCTGTTTCTTGGTCAATGATTTGGACCAGACGTCTGTTACCATGGAAACTGATGTAGCAGAGTTGGGCTACATTGTGTTGCAAGATGCAGGACAGTGTTTAAGACTGTGTCACAACATGTATTAAGATAATGTTTTGAGTGAGTGAGAATAAACAGAACAAGGAAAATCGTAGATTTTGTACCTCCGGGTATTGTAATGTATGTTGCAGAATGTTGGGTGCATGTTGGGACAGTTCTTTAAATTAGTGAATGGTGTCTGGGTGTATGTGTGTTTGTGACTGTGTGCGTGTGTTGTGGATATGTTATATGTGTTTATGTGTTGGATAGGTAGGCGTGGAAGTTGATTGTGGGCCTCCTAGTGTAGAAAGGACAGGGGGCATCCCGTGGCGAATCTGGCTGCGACCTGCGATACTGTAAACAAACACCCACACAAACGGCCGCGTGAGAAATCAACTCCAGTGCGCGGAACTTGCTCTCGAAAATTTATCAAGCCGCTACGCTTCCCCCCGCGGCTGCCATCCCTCCCCACTTATCCTACACTAGTTCAAAATACAAAATACAACATACAAAACAACATACAACATACAAAACAACATATAACATACAAAAAAACAACAAAACATGCACAGAAGCGTGTTCATATCTTTCATGTTACGGTTAAAACTTAGAACCTCATTTTGAGCGAACGTTACAAACACGAGACAAAATAATATTTTCGAAAACAAAGCGCAATCAGCAAGATTTCATTCCTGTTTCATTCATCAAAAGTTCTTGTCGATTGTAAAATGATCACTCATTTGTTGTCTCCTCTAGTGTGTCATTTGTAGCGTAATCACGGCGTGCCAAAAAAATAAGTCAAAACTATGAAAATTCCGGGATAAAAAACTTGGCAAAAACGTGTTCTCCACATCGCTTTACAAAACCATGAAAGCGCGCGATCTACGCTCTCATTGGTTCACCTCACATGACCTGCGTTCCGATTGGATAAGCGGTATCGCGCCGTCAGCGCGACAGAATTTCTTTATCAGAGAAGAGGCACATTTTCGCTGCTTTCTACGTTTTTTCTACGACTACTAAGCAACATCCTATAAAAAAAAGGGTGATTAGACTCTAAAAGAATTTTCGGGACAATTTCTGCGCCCTTTTTGATGTTCGAGCCAGATAAAAATAACCCGCGGTACCCGGAAGTCAGCGTACCGAGCTGGATTTCCTTGGGTCCCGTCTACCCCAACGCGAGACACAACTGCGATAATATTTCTTTCCCCGATACCTGACACCCTTAGCCTGGTTACCAAACCTATTATAGCTCCCAAGTCCTACATCCTCACCAAACCTATTATAGCTCCCGAGTCCTACATCCTCTCCGCAAATAGGAGAGGATGTAGGACTCCGGAGCTATAATAGGTTTGGTAACCAGGCTATGACACCCCCTCTTACCAGATGTGGACGACGCCTACGACACTTTATACACGCCGAAAATCAAAAGACAAAGCCACTTTCACACACAAGGGGTGTCCATACGCTCTCAAAACGCATCATTTTCACGCACTAAAACACACATACTAAAAAACCAAAACAACGTGCACCATCTACAGCCCAATAGCAAAACGTATACCAAGTCCCAGACATATCCGTCCACCCAAACGCGAGAAACGGCTGCGAACGTAAAAGGCATCTTCCCCCACAAAACCTCCGCGCACGGGATACATCCCTACCCGGAGGTAACAATAGTTTGTTAGGCTAGCATTATGCATTTGCTTTTCAAATGTTACCTATCTAGTTAATGTCTTGTGTTCATCAGATGTTTGCACAGGAATACGTACTTAAAAACAGCCTTATATATGAGAAATGCTGGAGAGAAGAAAAAGAGCAAAAAAAGAAACTAGAAGAACTGTGACATGTGACCTGACGATCAGTGAAGAAGGTGGCCAAGGACAGACCCAGATGGAAGGGAAAGGTCTCACAATGATAAGACAGTACGTATTCAAGAAGGGAAAAAAGAGTTATAATTGCGTGTACATTGAAGACAGACGAAGAATATCATTGCTAAATGAACTGTGAAAAGGGATGAAAAACTCTTGACAATAAACCTTCCCAAAAAATATTAAAAATAACTTCATTCCGGACGAAAGAACACAGCGGTCTGTCACTACGGCATTCTTTCCCATTGCTGGGGGCGTTCGATAAAGTATCGGGTTACAATACGCAATTTTGGGCTAACCGTAAAACATTTGAAAATAAACAAACTAGTATCGAAGGGAAAATTTCGTTGAAATAAAATAAAATTATCGTCTTTACATACATTTAATGGTGATTTTTTGCGTTAAATGGATGATTTTTTTCGGATTTCGTTAAAAAAGTCGATAATTTATGGCATTTCGGTGCGCCATATTTTAGCCAATCACTGAGCAAACCTGGCTACACATATTATATTACGCAAGATCACTGATTTTTATATTTTTCGACGACCAGGAATAAGATGAAAATCGTGCTTTTGGGATTTTGAAATTTCTGACTTAAAGTATAGTTTTTGTCGACAAATAGGTGAAAAAATCGATTTTTTAAAAATTTTTTCGCACTTAATTACCCATAATTCAAAATCAAGAGCATTTTTCAAAAATCCCTAAAGCACGATTTTCGGGACAACCGTGGCAGTCAATTTGAGCCGTAAATGGGGTATGTTTGACTCTCCATGCTTCCAGGTTTGAACGAGTTTTGCAGACATGTCATATCTCCCAAAAGTGTGCACCGTGTTATTCATAAAGGCGTAAAGAATCATTACAGTATTCAAGGCTACCCAAGGACACGACAGTAGCTTCGCTACATGTTACATGTCCACAAAAAATGATAGCGGACATGTACTGTCCTGGAAACTGTTTGTTTTTATAGAAAAGTGTTGTTTTTTATCTGTTGCGAGGCACTCAGGCAGAAGGGCTTGTGTTGCCGCTTTATTGCAAATGACCGCAGGTGACCCCGAAATGGAACGCAGGTTCGATTCGAATTGCCCAGATCGAACACGATCGAATACTGTTCGGATTCTATGAAATGTGGGAATTTTGCAGCCCAGATTTTACCACCGTGGAATTGTGCCTCGAGTGCTATAACGCTATTAGGCCACACCGACATAATTTTATGGATGACATACACGCGCGCATTGATTCTCGACAGTTCTTCCCACGCCCCCCCCCCTCCTCTGGAGGACGACATCCAGGCTACCGAAGTTCCACGACTCAAGAACTCATCAGTACATATACGTACGGAGCCGACTCATAAATTCCGGAAAAAAAGCCAGCATGTGCCGGCTTGTAACATATAATAATATACGTCACTATGTACTTACCGCAAATTCCCAGCTTTGCATTCCTGTCGTTTAGTAGCATTTTTAGTTTTGGCCGGAATTTTTTTATTCGCCCGCGCGCACTAGTTTGGGGATATTCAGAGGATGTCATCCATAAAATTAAGACGGTGTGGCCTAACTTTAAAACTTGAGACAGAAGTGATGTTGTCCTCACTGTACACCGTACACAAGCCTGCTTGCCATTTTCAGAATTAAGCCCTGATGGGTAGAACTAGTTTCTCACTTGTCCAGAGGATTACCTACAGTCTGATATACCCAGGATTTGCAAGCTGAAAAAAAAATAGAAGTCGGCCAGGGGAGTTATCCGACATCGAAGTTGGCGCGGGCACATTTAGCCCCCCCCCCCAGTCTATATAAGGTTAAAATAGCCCAGTGTCTCGTCTAGTTATGTAAAACACCTGTATATTGTCTTGTTACACATGTGAGCCTAGCCTGTGTATACAAAGCTCTCGGCCGGAGGTTAATGGGGGCGGCAACCTTAGGGCGGCGGCCGCCAGGAGCGCGATTTAGTCAGGCTAATGTGAGCCATGTTCCTTTCATACTACTAGTAGTTCTCTTTGAAACAATATAGTGATATAACGTGTTAAACTTATGTACGAAACGTATCAATGACTGAAGCACACGTTTTGCCATAAGTGTCGTATATACGTGGCGCCTTGACCCCAAAACATTACGAAGATCGTACCTGCCGTAACCGCTAGGAAAACCCCCACTCCCAGCACAAATGCAGACAGCCGCCCTCTCGTAGTCCGTGTGTACAGCTGTCCAGCCATGTCGTGGCGGCACACACACACAGATTACAGAATCAAACAAACACTGCCGCGTTTGAGACGGACTATAAAATTACTCTTAGTGTCCGATGTGTACCTAGAACGCACCGCGTTTCCTTGTTCCTGTTTCGTGGTACTAGTACACTTGTAACATCCGGGGTACTTCTTATTACTCCACACCGGCCAACCAGAACAAACCTTACTCCCGACATAATCCTCTAAACCATGACCATTACTGTAGCCTGCCATCCAGGCTTATCGGGGTTGGGGAATAGTATTTGGGGCAGGCGGTGTCTCATCGGGGCTGTAATAGCTTCCCTCCGCCCAGTACCAACAGGCCGCCCGGTAGGAGTGATGGTATGCCAGGGGACTTGATTTGCCCCAACACTTCGTGGTAGGGCTAATCAATCTCACATCGTGAAATACACACCGGGAAACCTAGCTGAGGCGGGCGGGATAGAGCTCCTGCAGCCCCGAGGAAAACCCGCCCCTACCACGTAAGACTGGATACCAGCTACCTGGGAGTTCGGCAGTGTTTAGGAGACCACATATGGGCTTGAGGCTTTCACCTCCGCGAACCCGGAAGTATGGTGTCACAAATCCCGAGTTAGTTGCAAGTCAAGTCAAAGTTTATTGCACAACGATTGTAACAGGTGCAATGTTTGGCAGATAATAATAAGATTACCAGCTGGTATCAGTCTATTAAGATTCTACATGTAACGTGTTAGCTATATAGGTTCAACGGGTATCATGTCTGGCAAAATGTTGAATAGAACTAACTAACTAAGAGCTAGTACACCTCTACGCGTATGTTCTAAGCTACGCTATACTATATTCCTGAAGAGTACAATGAAGAGTTGTATACATGCAGGTTCTGAGAGGACTATATACAGAGTGTCGACTAAATTACTGACTAAGATCTGTTACAATTCTACATGTCATGACACGGCACATTTATACCTACCCTGGGAGCAACACTAGTATCGGGCCGATAGCCGTTTTCCTTCGGCAGCCAAGAGCCCTTCGCTCGCCTATCTATTACGGCTACGAGTGTGTTGAGCCCGACGGGAGCCCTATGCACTTAAGTAGTAAGCCGGCCAACTTCCGTCGGGCTCAACTCTACGATCCCTTAGCGGTAATTTAGATAGGCGGGCGAAGGGCTCTTAGCTACCGAAGGAAACCGGCTAACGGCCTGATATCACTGCACGAAAAGTTGGATTTACCAAAGGTTGTAAATCAGGTAATGTTTACTGAGATCACAGTAACTGGCTACAATGGTAGTAAATAAAGGTCAATTGCAGTAATTTTCTTAACAACCCTTGTTAAGTCCGGTATTAACTACTTGACCTTCATTTACTACCATTGTAAAGGATATATAGATATATAGCTACCTTTGCCTCTGTCCCGTTTGTGTGGCAGTCTACATATCTATCATTGAAAATGATAAACGAACTATGCTTTCTGTGGACACGAATCATTAAAGAACATAAAGGCTGCGACTGCACAGGTACTTTTTGGACAATAAAAACCATTTAAATGCACCTTACCACTATGTCAGTTACTGTTGACACAGCGCTTGCACGGTTGAGCATATTTGCCCCGACCCCTTTTGTGTATAGTGTCAGCATAGGAACAAACTCACATCACTTCACGTGGAACGGTTCTTTGTCACCCTCAAGTGATGGCAAACCTATATCATGTTTACATCTAAGATAAATGAAGGTACTGTTTTTGGCACAGTGCGACGCTGGAAGTAATGGTGAAAAAGTGGCAACATGTTTGCACCAAAGGTTTTAATATAGTTCAATGTGTGATTGTAATTTACGTCTCCTTCTCGGCATATTTCTGTTATTTGTAGTTGGCGCTAAAACAGCACACACGGGGCGTACTTATGATGAGTTTGTGGCACCGCCACTAAACACTAGAATATAAACAATTATAAACATACTCAAGTCACACGCACATGTCTAAAAGACTTGCAAAACATCTGAACACAAAGTTTTCAGAGCTCATTGAAACCAACAGACGTATACAACTTGAAACGGAATGCACACATTGACTACATAATAGCAAAGCCAACAGCACTCTGGGTGAATTTAAGGGGGGGGGGGAGCAAGTAGAGAAATCAGAGCCCAAGCATACATGTCTATTGTAAGACCCAAACTGGAGTATGTGTCCACTGTTTGGGACCCACACAAGCGACTCTACGCGCACTGACAAACTTGAAGATAAAGTAGAAGAAGTTCAGAAGATCACCGGTAGGTTCGTCACCGGTGACCGTACAGATCAACAACAGACATAACAGATACCCCGAGAACACTTGTATGGCCTACCCTGCACCAACGCAGGCAGCAAGCCAGACTTGCTCTAATGTACAAAGTAGTGAACAATATGAAAATCTTCCCTATAAACAACATTCTTAACAAAAACATTAGAAGAGGACATCACAGCGCTTCATCCAATGCAAGCCGGAAGCATACATTCCGTCATCGAGTGGAACGCCCTACTAGGTACACTCGTACCAAGCACATCTCTAGTCAACTTGGCCACCTTGACGTTGGACTACGAAGGTTTAGGCGTAACTAAGAATCATGAGAACTAGTAAATAACGCTTCAAGCTGAATTTAGGATGACAAATAACGCGCTACGTAGAATTAAAATGCGTAATATCGCTTTACGATTAATATACCTATAACGCTCAACGCTGAATTAGAGGGGGGGCGGCAATGATTAACGGTGAATTAAAATAGCTCACGGAAAATGCCATGCCAGTCCACCGGGAATGAAGTACATCACTGCATCAAAGCAAACGACATTCTACATAAGGACTGACAACTGCATTAAACACCCGCTGCGCTCCATTGTTTCGCCCCGCTGCGGCCCATTGTTTACAGGCCCGGCGGCACATCGTCAGATCTGTTTGTTCGTAGCGCATGTCCCCGCCGATAATGAGCTTAGGCATGACGTCACACGCCCCAATCTGCGCCGAGCACGGGCCGAGAAGGGCCGAAGTGTCGGATTTTCCCGGCGATTCCCATATTTGGAAAACTCGGCAGGGTTACCCCGAGGTCATATTCGGCTGCGGAAAGCGGTAGCGCGCCGGCATGGGATTCATGTATATGAGTGTTATTGGCACTCGAGTGTGAATTAACACGGTGGTAAAATCTGGGCTGCAAAGTTCCCACATTTCATAGAATCCGAACTGTGTTCGATCGTGTTCGATCTGGGCAATTCGAATCGAACCCGCTTTCCATTTCGGGGTCACCTGCGGTCATTTACAACAAAGCGGCAAAACAAGCCCTTCTTCCTTTCGCAACAGATAAAAAACAACACTTTTCTATAGATACAAACAGTTTCCAGGACAGTACATGTCCGCTATAATTTTTGGTGGGTATGTAACATGTAGCGAAGCTACTGTCATATCCTTGGGTGACCTTGAAAACTGTAATGATTCTTTACGCCTGTATGAATAACACAATGCACCCTTTCTGGCGATATGACATGTCTGCAAAACTCGTTCAAACCTGGAAACATGGAGAGTCAAGCATACCCCATTTACGGTTCAAAATGACTGCCACGGTGGTCCCGAAAATCGTATTTTAGGGATTTTTTTAAAAATTGCCTTAATTTTGAATTATGGGTAATTTAGTGAGAAAAATGTAAAAAAATTCAATTTTTTCACCAATATGTCGACAAAAACTAGACTTAAAATCAGAAATAAAAAAATCCCTAAAACACGATTTTTTATCTTATCCCTAGTCAGCGAAAAATATAACAATCGAGGATCTGGTGCAATATACGTAGCCAGGTTTGAACGATGTTTGCCAAAACACGTGACATGACTTGTGCTCAGAAAGCCGAAAATAATCGTCTTTCTGAGCGAAATTTTTAAAAATCACATAAAAAGCTAACATTTACAGGATGTTAAGACGATATTTTCATTTTAATTTGTCGAAATTTACCACTAAATATTATTTGTTTATTTTCAAATATTTTACGGGTAGTCCAAAACAGGCCAAAATTGCGTCTTGTAACCCGATACTTTTTAGAACGCGCCTAGCAATGGGAAAAATTCCGTAGTGACAGACCGCCGTGTAAATTTTCACACCCGCTACGGACATCCCTGAAACTTGAAAGGAAATTGGTTCAATCGTCATGTAATGTAATAGAATGACACAATTCAGTCGAGTTCAAGACTACCACGTTGATTGAATAAAGTTTGATAACATATTCATCTGCCATTCACGTTCCGGTATGGCAACAGACATATGCTAAAAGCCATGTTTGGTTTGGGGGGGGGGGTGTCCTAAGAAACTTACGCTTGCTGGATTTGTGATAATTTCCGCATGCCATTTTCCGTTCAGCGTTATCGGTCGTTTTAATTAGAGCGTAGACGGACTGCTCTAATTCAACGTAGAGCATAATTGGTGCATTTTGCCTAGAGCGCAATTCGCCGTTTTCATTCTACGTAATGCGTAGATGCCCGGAATTTATCGTAAAACCTAATCGATCATAGCATTTTTCTTCCTTCATTGTAGGTAAGAAATGCTCAAACTTTTATTTCAGTTGGAGTACACGAGTCGAATCGGCCTTTTCGTCTTTTTTATGAAATGTTTCATTCTCTGGATTGTGATTTTTAAAAGATATATTCAGGGAGGATCGATGTGAAATATGTAAGATGTAAGGTTTGCTCGCAAATCTTGTGTAGAACGACGTTCTCTAAAACCCCCAAACAAGCCTCTTGGCTTTTGCAATGCTCTACCGAATACCCCCTCCAGACAGATCGTATCCTTTCGCCGCCATAAAGTAGTGCGAGGCAAACAGGACACGATTGTTGTATGAAATATGCCAGATATGTTGTTAATTGGACACATAACACATACTGGTATGAAAAGTATTCACCTTGGTGCGGTAGATTCTATTTTTGCACTTTATTAGTCATAATGTGACCCTCCAGATGTCTGAGCGGATGGATATTATTTGGATCCTGCGATCGGCCGCAG